TATAAACTAATTTAATTTTTTTTTATTTTTAGTGTAAATTGAGGCATTCATAAAGAGTATGGAAATGTAAGATCATTTCTGGCTTTATACGGATTTTCTTTGTAAAACCAGAAATAATACTCAATAATCCATTGTTGGTAGATAACTTATGAAGTCTTATACCTTTAACACCAACTTTTTATTATACTTCTCATTATTTTACATTGTTATAAACGATAATTGTAAGAAAATTAAACTGAAATCTTTAAAAAAAATATGAAAACCACCAATAAGAAATAGTACGCTACTTGGAAATTCAAGTCTCTGATCTTTAATTCAATTATAGAGTTGGGATAATTTAGAGCAGTGGTTTCCAAAATCGCTTACTTAGTATTTTTTATGGAGCTATTTAAATATAATTCTAGTAAAAAAAAGAAAAAGCAATATTTTAATAAAATATTTTTTCCCAATAACAATATAGAAAAAAAATTATGAAAAAATAAGCATTTATAAGACATTTTAAAAGTATTTCTTATCAAGCTTTTATTAAAAATTAATTGAAATGGAAATTGGGGTCGTTTTGTGGCCCCTTCGCAACATCCAAATTCTAAAAAATGACCCATTCATGAAGTTCTAATTCGTAAAAATTTGAATGCGTCTCAACTCAAATTCGCAAGTAAAAAATTTCGGAGTTCGGATAATCTTGTGAAAAAGACCAAAAAATGGTGAATGATAGACAACACGGAAAAATTACCAAAGTGGTGTAGTTACGATAGAATTATCACGAAGCAAACACGTCCAAGCGGGTTAACTCAAATTCGAACGTCGTAATAATGTATTAAGAATATCACAATTCAAAAAACCAAGCCAGGTGAAAAAGAGTTTAAAAAATATATAATGGCTGTAAAAACTACCATCAAAAGATATGGAATCGTCACAAACTGAACACGTCAAAAAATCATATTTCAAAATCGAAATTCAAACATTGTAATAACACTGTATTGAAAATATCAGAATGAACAAAAAAAAATTTAATAACTGCTGATAAACTAACGACATAAAATTATGATGAAATCGTCACAAATCTGACGCTTTGGAAGAAGAGATGACTCAAATTGGAAATACGCATGGGGTGAATGAATCAAAAGGAAGCAGCTGAAATAAGATTTTAAAAAAACAAACAAGTATACTTGAAAAAATTAAGAAAAAAAAAGTGACCACTAAAAATTAATGTTCTTTATGAATTAAAAAAATTTCCACAAAAATGCCCCNCAACATTCAAATTCTAAAAAATGACCCATTCATGAAGTTCTAATTCGTAAAAATTTGAATGCGTCTCAACTCAAATTCGCAAGTAAAAAATTTCGGAGTTCGGATAATCTTGTGAAAAAGACCAAAAAATGGTGAATGATAGACAACACGAAAAAATTACCAAAGTGGTAAAGTTACGATAGAATTATTACGAAACAAACACATCCAAGCGGGTTAACTCAAATTCGAACGTCGTAATAATGTATTAAGAATATCACAATTCAAAAAACCAAACCACGTGAAAAGGAGTTTAAAAAATATATAATGGCTGTAAAAACTACCATCAAAAGATATGGAATCGTCACAAACTGAACACGCCAAAAACTCATATTTCAAAATCGAAATTCAAACGTTGCAATAACACTGTATTGAAAATATCAGAATGAACAAAAAAAATTTTAATAACTGCTGATACACTATCAACTAACGACAAAAAATTATGATGAAATCATCACAAATCTGACGCTTTAGAAGAAGAGATGGCTCAATTGGAAATTCGCATGGGGTAAAAACATTAGATATATAGGAATTCATTCAAAGAACCAAAAGAAAGCAGCTGAAATAAGATTTAAAAAAAACAAACAAGTAAACTTGGAAAAATTAAGAAGAAAAAAAAGTGACCACTAAATATTAATGTTCTTTATGAATTAAAAAAATTTTCACAAAAATGCCCCTCCCCCCCCAAAAAAACCTGGGTCAAATCCCGAAATATTATACACAGGGTTGGGTTTTTGCCCGCAAAAACTGGTTTTTGACATGACAGTGGTAAAAACCTGTTTTCTTTCATTTATGGCATATAGAGGACAATATATTATTTTCACATAATTGCCTTTATAAATGAATGTTGTAAATGATTGCTATTGATTTTGCAACTATAAACATGTAATCTTATAGAAGGATATACATTCATATAGAAATATTGTTATATACTTATTGAAAATAGTGATACCTTTATCATTATAGCTTGATTTGCAAAGGATTTAAAATTTTGCACTTGTTAGAAATAAACAAACAAAAAAACTTGGAACTATTAATAAATTCAAGAACTAAAAAGAAGAATTTAAAATTTGGCATTTCTTAAATGTTAAAAATAAGCTAAACAAAGCTTTTAAAACTTGTAACTGCTAACAAACTCTAAGTCAAGAATGACTTGACATTTTTCAGTAATGTAATATGCCAAATAAAATGATGCTTGGAAATGTTGAAAATTTTGTTTAGTATCCTAATATTTTACTTCAAATAGTATGTTTTGATATAATAATGTTGGGAAAATGCAAGAATCTGTTCTTAAATATCTTTTAACAACTTTTTTTCTAATTTTATTGCCCAAAAATTAATTTTAAATTATAAGCAGTTAAACTCAAATAAAAATACAGTTTTACCAAGACTAGAGGTTTTTGACATGACGGTGAAAACCAGTAAAAACCGTCATGTGTCAAAAACTTGCCAACCCTGATTATACAGTTTTATAATTTCCAAATAAAATGGCAATCCTCATGCTTCCAGGAAGTTCTGAAAGATGAGTTTAATTGAATTCATTTATCAAAACTTGGTGATAAGAGGATTAACAATAAGAACATTAATTTAAAAGAGATACAATACTATTTATGACAATAAGTTTCTTAAAAAAAGAATAAACTGACTGAAGTATGTCAATCCCTCTATCTGTTATGGATTCTAGCAACTAAACACTCTTTCCTAGTTGAAAGTTTTTAAGTCTCAAAACCATGGCATACTACTGTTCTGGTAAATTTGGCTTGATGCATATTGGGTGAAAACAAGACTTATGAGTGGGAAATGTTAGTGCAAAGATCACATTCACCAAATCAAACTCTGATTTTGGCTCAAAAATGTTAAATTCCAAAACTTTTTGGACAGTTTCCTGATTTTCCAAGTAGTGTAGCAATCTTGTGTAATAAATGTTGTGGCTGAAGTCTTTATAAGACCTTTAATTTGATACTTTTTATTTAAATAATTCCATTTTTTTCTCTAAACTGAGAAAGTCTCAAAACTAACTCCCATTTTATCAATAAACTTTTATATATATATATTTTTTTTGGGGGGGGGGCAAGAGTTGATTTTGAAATCACAAGTCTTAAATGCATTAGTAAATTCAATATTTTTGCAAATGAATTCATGTATTTTAATTTGAATTAAATATTTCATACATGCAACAAAAAAATTAAGGACTGGGGTAAAATAAGACATATTCATCTTAGATGTATGGAAAAAATTATCAAACCATAATGAAGTTTTCATGCGTTCATTCATTGACATTTAATTGATTTAAAGCCAATACTATATGATCAAAAGAGTATCAGAAAAGGTAGATATAACATGAATAAAATATTCATCTAAATAGCTAATCTAAATTGACTGTAAAATGAGGAACAAGCAATCAGATTCGATTAGGCCCCCACTCACAGTTTCCTATAAATATTGACCAAGGATCAAAACCTCCATCTAGAGTAGATCAAATAATATAGGCACACACCATTTGCGGAAATTCTTAAATTTTGTGGATACTGTCCACAAGATTTAAAATATCAAGTCATGATTCGTATTCATACGGTAAAATAACCACTTACCTTTTCTTACGCCCACGATTTAAAAATCTAATATCGCGTTTAGATCATGCATTTTTAAAATCCAACATCAATCCCAGAAAATCTAAGTTATATTCACACGATTATAACACCAAACATCAACTTGTGTGATTTAGAAATTGCACATTGCAATTCGTATTTACACAAATGTAAACTGAAAAATCAACTCAATTTAAAAATTATAGCCGTGATTTGTATTCAAGGGTCTTTTAAATGCAACATCACAACTTGTATCCATGCGTCTTTAGAATTCTGTATCGCAATTCATATTAACACGGTTTTAAAATCAAACATCACAATTCCCATGCGCGCGATATCAGATGCTTCAGGCTTTTCCAGTTGCTATTAGAAATGGTTGTAAATAAATACATTTAAATTAAATCTTTCGTTTTTTGTGTTTATTCTTTACGAAAGATTTTTTTATTTTCTCGCTTATTGCTTTTGATGTGATCGTAATAATTTGGTTGAAAAAGAGTAAAGGTAAAAGGTCATTTATTAAAAATAAATTTCATTTATTTTAAAAACATAAATTTATTTTCATTCATTTCATACTACATTAAATCAATTAACATTTGTACTTTATTAAACATGTTCGATTTTCTTTAAAAAAATTTATTTTACAGGGTTGCCACTCAAATCTAGAAAAGAAATTCCCAGTGTCTTCCCTGTACATATTATAAACAATATATATTAAGAGGAAACAACAATTACTGTGCTTTTGTGTGAGCTATATTGGGCTAACTATATTTATTCTTAATTGCTGGAAAAACAGCTGAACATGCTTAAATAATGCTATAGTAAATTAAACAGTTTTGTATAGCTGAAATATCATGGTTAAATATCCCATAGATTACGCTTTGAGTGGTCACCATTAAAAAATGGTGACCACTCAAAGCGTAATAAGAAACAAAATTCCCTGCATTTTCCAGGTTTTCCCTGTGGAGTGGTGACCTTGTATTACCTTGCTACTATTTATCCTCAGGCCCCCACTTTGCGGCAATTTCGTTAAAAAAAAATTGGCGAGGGCTTAGCCAGTGTTTTATGGTACTATAAAAAAGCATATTGTTTTTTGTAAAAATATATTTAAATAAGAGTAAAACAATAGACATAAACACAGTCGATTTATTGCGCAAACAAGAAAACAAATAACATAATTTAGATACCCAATGGAATACACGAATCTACATAAAACTGAAATGATTACAGTCAACAGAACAGGGAACAATAAATACATTGTGTATAAATACATATATGTAAATTATGTACCATGGAAACATGTTATTTAAGTTCTAATGAGTTTGACATTGAACTCCACGGGGTCCACCATGGTCATCATCCTCTTCATATGCTTGTCGGTATCTTTGTTGTCTGGAAAACTCTGGAGCAATATCACACAATGGTACCTAAAATAAAACAGTTACTCTTTATCAAACAACTTATTAATGATGTACCACATAGCCATTAACCCGAATACTGGATGTTCAACTGCCAAATAACATTTTTGAAAAAGTTCAGTAATAAATATTTTTTATATGTAAACTAATTTAGTCATTATTGAAAAATAATCAATATTTTTGGCCTTATTAATGGTATGTTAAAAAAAATTCAACATCCTTGTTATGTTTTTTGCGTTATAGTACAGTATTTCGGTACCTCTGCAGATTTGGGAAATAGAATGTGAAACAGACACAGGAGTAGAATTAATTTGTTCAAAAATAATTTTTTATTTATTTCTGGATAAATATGGGAAGAAACCAAAAAATAGAAAAATTAATTAAATAAAAACACAGATCCCAAATGAACATCTCATATTACACAATAAACATAAATAAAAATTGAGAAATACTTTTTACTTTTGAATGGTGACAGTTAGAATAAATACTTTATTAAAACTTTTAAGTTTCTTTTTTTAATGTACATTAACATCTAAGAAGTAGATTTGGTAATTCTGTGATCATTTAATCGTAATATCAAATAATCAGTTGGTGTCATCAGCTCAAAAAATAATGGGAGGAGAGGAGAAAAAAATTCTCGAGAGAAAAAAAAAAAACTTAAAAGTTCACACCTTTTATTAGTCAAAAATCAAGAGAGTTTTGGCTTAATTCCGGAGGACCGAAGACTAACAGAAATTGAAATTTAACCATAAAATGTGGGTGAGTTGGCACATCTGAAATTCATTGCACTCAATCACTGTTTTAAAAACGTCATTCTTAGAATGCGTTGTATCATATCTTCAGAAAAACTTAAGCCTAAAAGAATCTCAATTTTCCAAGTGATTGTCGGCTCAGAGAAATAATTTTTTAATGTTATTTTGCACAAACCCAAAACAAAAGCATGAAATACCAGGTTTTGTGCAAGATTTGATAGGCAAAAAAAGTCCCTGACAATTTCGGACTTTGCGCTAAAATTATGTCTTTCCCTAACCTTTTTCTCAAATATCATTTTCCCAGCAGACTTTTAAATGAAAACTAGAAATTGCATAAATCTTATAATTGTGTAAAATTAAAACCCTAATCAAATACTAATTTTCCTTTTTATCAAAGATGGTATAGTGACACCATTGATTTTAGGTGTTATTTATTCATTATTTGAGCTGTTGGGCATATTCATTTTGTTTAACCTAGATTTACATTTTAGGAAAATTTTTGACACAAAGAAAATAACTTAATAAATACCTCTTCAGCTTCATCTGGAATGATGAATTCTGGTCTAGGAGGTAAAATATTTTCCAGCTGTGCACACGCTGTTTCATCAATATTAGACGGGAAGTTGACAAGAAAGTGTACAACCAATTTGCCCTTTTCAAAAGGATTTTTGTACTGAGGCATGCCTTCATTCAATACACATTTCAGACTTTGATGTTTGACTACTTCACCTGAAAGGAAAAAAAAAATACAAATATTATTCAAAACACTGAAAACAAATCATATGAATGCAAATGTCAGCTTAATTGGTTTTTATGTTTTTTATCAGCTGAACCCATAAGGATGATTTGAAAAATAAATAAAATTAACTCTTAAGAGTCGGAGAATAACTTGTGAGCTACAATATACCAAATTTTTTTTCTCTCCCTATTTGTAAGTTTTTTTCATCCCTTGGCAAAGCACAGAAATACAGTTTTTTAAAACTTTTTGTATTTCTCTAAAACTGCTGTATTCTGTAAAATTCTTTATTTCTTAACTCACAGAAATTATGAAACACTGCAGTAGTAACATTTCTGCATAGATCTGAGTACAAATCTATTCCTAGAATAGTGATTGTAATTTTAAAACTCAATAATAACATGCACTTAATTCAAATACATAGATGACACTGCTTTTACTTTGTCTATTTATATTGAAGAGCAATATTTTTTGTGTGTAAAGATTTACATTTCTTTCTTTAAATATAGATGAAAAAATACAAAATATTTTACAGTTGAAAGATCAGCAATAAATTATCCTATAAACAAGAGAGCAAAAATTTCAAACAACATTATTTAATAAAGCACATAATTCATGCTTAGTCAATGTGTGAGATAGAGGTAACGCCTGGGAGAATGAGCAACTAATTTTTGTTAGACAGAATTGTTTTACACTGTCAGCATGGAAACCAATACACATTGCATTTAAAAATGATCTTATTCAATTTTGTATTCAAAATGACCAAGATCCAGCTAAGCTATGTGGTTATCTAATAAAGCAGATGACCTTGTGAATCACAGAAAAATATTTTAAAACCAATAACACACATTAATAAATAGTAACTCAAACTTCTGATAAACCTTTTACAACTTTATTTCATTTCAATTATCATGATAATAGAATGCAAATTATACATTATTTTGAATACTGAGATCTATAAACTTAAAATTCCAATAGAAAAAGTCATATATACCAGTCTTCTACAATTTTGAAATCCTTTTACTGATTAAATTTGAAAACTAATGCATGCATGCAAATTGATGAATACCAAATATCTCCCTCAGAATTCTCACATAAATTTTGAAGATCTCAGAAAATTCTGCATTATTTTTAATTATTTATTATTATCTACCTTCATAAATCAAACAATAATTATTAAAACTATTAATATAATAAATTCATCGAGATTTGTGGAACTTTCAAGAGTTTATATTTTTACTTCCTATTAATTACCAAAAAGCTGGAGAATTCTTTCACAGAAAAAGAATACTAGAAGTATTTGCTTCAAATATTCCGAAATTGTAACTAGATTTATAATTATAACAGCTTTTTATTTCATACAAACTTCTCAGGTTTAAGGCATTAAAAAATAAATAAATATGAAACTTACCAGGGATGCAAGAAATGACCAATAACCTGTTATCTAAAGTCTTAATTGTTCGTTGGAAGCCACATAAAGCCTCTGTCAAAGAGAGCTCCATTTTTATAATAAGATCAGATCCATTTCTCTTGAACACTTCATGTTCTTTTTCATCAATTATTATAATTATATCGCCTGGTTCCATCCCAGGCTCTTGATCTCCTTCACCAGCAAAAGTAATTTTATGACCGTCTTCCATACCTTAAAAAAATTTCCCATTTCAATAAAAAAAAAACTTGATCATTGAAAAATTTAAACAATTTTGCAATCTCATAAAAATCATTAATGTAATATGAATCCATTGATCTAAAAAATAACTTAATAAGATGTCAAAAATATTTAAAGCAATGCCTAGCTTTCTAAAAAGTGCCGTCTACTTGTCCGTCATAGTTTTGTATTTCTTTAAAATTATGATCTGATACTTGTTTTATCAAGTATAATAAGTCTTTCAATCTAATACAAAAAAGAAGTATCTTCAGGAGTGGAAAGTGTCATAAAATATGAAGAACTGTAGGCCTCTCGGAGAGCAGAACAGTTCCAGAGATGATCACCATTGTCAAAATGTTCCTCGCACAAAATGTAGGTAGGAGAGTCAGCTAGTCCAATGTGGTGTAAATGTGACTGTAGAAAGTCCAGTCAGTAGCTTGATTGAAAAAAACCCTGTTAGTCATAATCATAGTAATATTGATATGTAAAATAAATATATTTTACTCATATTTCATAAGTTACATGCATCCAAATATAAAAATATAGATAATTTTTAACCAATATGGAGAGCTTTTTCCACAGTGGAAAAACTGACCTGGTTCCTTCCATCTCAAGTGGGAAAAAAAATAGATTTCTTCTAACACAAGAGAAACACAAGTTTCTTCCAAACAAAATGGGAAGAATAGAAGAAATTCTTTAAAAAATATATACATCAATCTACAGAAATTAACAGTGAAATCTCACTTTACGGACACTCCTACAAACCAGGCGCCTCTCATTACATCATTTTATTTCCCCTTGAATAAACCATCTATGTACCCTATCCACAAAGCAGAACACTTAATTCGAAAAAGGAAAGCATATCTCATATAAAAATAAATTATTTTAATACAGGTTATGCAGATTTTAACCTGTAACCTAATGTTTCTGCATTCGTAATGTTTTGTATTCATAATTAATATTCCTAATAACAAATATCCCAATAATATTGAACTTGGTCACTTGACTTGATCATGAACTATGGTATTTGATTTCAAGTTCAGCTTAGAATGTAGTCCAAAAATTATGACTAGAGAAATAATTTAATATAAGTAATTTATAAAAATTAAATACCAAAACCAAAATGAAATCCAACAATGTAGATTGAAAAAAAAAAAGTTTNTCATAAGTTGGAGAGTATGTGTTTTGTATTCATAATTAATATTCCTAATAACAAATATCCCAATAATTTTGAATTTGGCCACTTGATTTGATCATAAACTATGGTATTTGATTTCAAGATCAGCTTAGAATATAGTGCAAAAATTATGACTAGAGAAATAATTTAATATAAGTAATTTATAAAAATTAAATACCAAAACCAAAATGAAATCCAACAATGTAGATTGAAAAAAAAAAAGTTTAAATAAGAATGCATAACAGGATTTCAGAGGCTCTCTGAACACATCTTTCTGTGTATTACTGCTTTGTAAAATAAAAGAGTAAAACGCGTCCCAAAGACAATTCTATATTGAAAAATAATGTCTTTCATTTTAGCATTCAAATATGGAAGGGTAGTGTTTTAAAAAAGGAGAGAGGTTCAAATATTTATTTTTTAAAATAATTTTATGTTGTTAAATGTTTTCTTGTGAATTAAAATAAAGTACATTGAAATGAAAATTGATATTAATTTATTTCTATTTGTTAATTTCTTCTGTTAAAAGAAAAGACTATTGATACCCTACCTTACCTCCCTGTGGCAGAGTTTGTTCGGCCTTTTTGCGACAAACCTCTCTAGCACTAATATCTTTCTGCAAGATAATTTTACTAATAACAAATATATTTGTTACAAATTTAAAGTGACAAAAGTGTTGTGTTTACCAAAAAAAAAAAATTATAATAATAATCATCTATCTGAATAAAATAAATTTATATATTTTTCAAGGGGTCCCTTTTTGCGCATTTCGTAAATCATCATCAAATAAAAACTAATTAAAAATGGTAAAATCCCTTGCAGTAACTACCGAAAAAAAGAAAGACTGATGGTGAAATCACGCGAATCTGACTCTTTAAAAAAAAAGATTACTAAAATGCGTGTCTTCTTTGGAGATTCAGTTGTTGTAATAAACATTGTATAGAAAATGGGATGTTCTGAATGCACACAAAAATCAGGAAGAAAAAAAAGACAAAAATTTACAAATCAGAATAATATTTTTATCAGAAAAATCTGGAATAGAAGAGCAACTGCAAACCATGCATTGTATGAAATGATTTAAGAATTAAGTTTTGGATAAAAAAAAAAATTAATTATATGTTTTAATCTGAAGCATTCCAAACATAAATATATGACATAATGCATACCTTTGTCAATGTGAGCTTCAATAAGTTTTCTTTCTCGCACCACTTTTTTTCCATGACAGTTCTTGCACCGATCTTTAGGGTTTATATATTCTCCTTGACCTTGGCAGCTAGAGCAGACAGTTTGAATTCTTTGAACCATAGCAGGCCCCAACTGTTGAACATGTGTTTGCATTCCAGTACCATTACACTTAGTGCACTTCTCAAGTGCACCTTTTTTGCCACCACGTCCTAAAAACATTGAATAATTTTTGTAAATTATGTGTGACATTATTACAAAATGAGAAATGAAACATCAAATATATAGGGCCACACAGCACAGTTTTGGGTTTTTCTTTTTTTTGAGTAAATAATGGTCACTAAATTTTTAGCATTGAAAAAGGTTTTTACAAAACTAAATTATGCAAAGTCATCTTTAAATTATTGAGTTTTTTTTACATGAAATTCAAAAACAATGTAACAATGCAGCAAATAGGAGAAAAAAATTTGTCAGGCACTATAAAAATATTTTTAAAAAACAAAATTCGTGAAAATTGTGATTTTTTTAAAAATCTATAACAATGATAAATTTTTGAAAAAATAATGTTGATGCTGTTTTTAAATCGCAAATGGTCTAAGCTTTTTATACTTACATATATATTTTAATCACTATATTTAAAGTTAATATTAAAAGCCAACTTTATCCTCCAATCAACTGGGGTGATTCTTGGTAAGTTATAATTAAGGCCTTTTTATTTATTTATTTCTGTGCAAATAATATAAATATTACTTTAAATGTTATACCGTTAGATTATATTACTTTATATTTTAACTGTAACAAAAGGTGTATTTTTAATTTGTTTTAGTGTAAATAATATTTTAGCTGTACAAAATTCTGGAATTTAAACAATTTTCTTAACAAGTAAAAATTTAACAAAATGTGTAATCTTCTGTAATAACTGAATTTGAACCTAAACAATTTTTAAATTACTCTCGTATACTGTTTTATGTATGTATTTCAAAAAGTAATTCTCACTCATTATCAAAATAAGATAAAAATTTGCAGTCCATAAAAAAATAAATTAAAAGCATGTTAAAAGACAATCACTGTGCATACATTTTATTAGTGAACTAAAAAATAAATGATTATTGATAAACAACTTGAAAGGTTTTTTTCTGTAATTTAAACTGAAAATGAGAAAATTAACATCTAAAGATGTCCTTTTTTTTTCTTTCTTTTTTTGAAAAAAAAAAGGTATTTAAAAAAATAATTTTAAAATCACTTAAAAATTCATTAATATACCCCTGGAAAAAGAGAAACTTATAAAAATATAACCAGTTGAGAATTATCCAGATAAAAAAAATATTTGTTACAGTAATAAGAATTAAACCTATAAACACAGATAATTTTACCGGTGTGTAATTATTTAAACAATCAGTTATTATTTCAAAATGAAATATGAATAAAAAGGCAGTGTTTTTATGCGATATTGAATTATTTCTACAAAAAGGGTGCATTAAAAGGCAGACCATCCTTCAAAAAACGAATAGGGAGAAAATTTTGATACTAAAAAATAATAGGATACACGACTTTCTGCAATGCTACGCTTTTCCAACCTTTTTTAAAATTCAAGAATTTTGAAATTTGATTTAAAATCTGCAAATACATAAGAGAATATTTTTTAAAACTAAAAGCATTGAATATTATGGGACAGATAAAAATCATAAGCTTTTAAGTGAAATACAATGCTCTTTCTTATGAATATAGTACCCTATTCATTTTCTTGTATTCTGGCATTAAGCTTCATGGTAATCCATGGACGATTACGATAAGCCATGATTCACAGTGCAGAGGTTATAGAATGTAAAGACAAGAAAGTTGTGTTTGATTTGACAAATCCTTATAAAGTTTTTGTTTAAACTTTAAAGGGTTTAAAAGTGCAAAATTTAGGAGTGGTAAAATTTTTCTAGAACTGAGCCACACTATACCAAAATAATGCTCTTTTTTTTCTTTTTAAATTTTGTAATTAAAAAGCTATTTTTTGCCAAAACATATCAATAATAAAGTGAATAATAAAATGCATTAATAATAAATTTATAAACCTTAATTATTTTGACAACAGTATCTAATTTATTGCATATTTCAGGCACAATGAAACTTATATAGATATCGTGTAACATGAAATGAGTATAAAAGGATGTTATATAAACTTTTGTGTGAATATATATGTTTAATATTAAGCATTCATTAATTGTTTCATAGCAGAATGATGCTCTGGTTGTATTTTCAGGATCTCAAATTGTATTACAATACCACTTAAAATACAATACTAAAAATTCTAGTATGAACCCTGATTTTGAAAGTAGCATTTTTTTGCCAATAGCTTACTTTGCTACAGATTTTTAAACAGGAAATCATAACCAGATAACAAGTTATATCACTTCTTGACATTAGTTTAATCCCTTTTATAGACAACAGTTGCCAAATAAATAAATAAAAGGTCGCTAAATAGTATAAAAACTAACTATCAAGAGTGTATAAAAGTAAAAATATTGCTCTGAATATATTTACAGAGCAAATAATTAAATTCATTTATACATACAAAAGGTAAAAATTACAGTGATCAGGGGAACACTAAAATTTTTGACTTTCCATAGTTTTCAAAAACTTTCTATCATTTTATTTACATCAGAGACAAAAAATTTTTTTAAACTACAGGTCGGAAGCACTAGAAAATATTTTGTCAAGGTAAATTTTAAGTTATGTATTGCAGTGATAGTAAAAATGCAAGGTATGAGGGTAATTTTTCTACTTAAAAATTATTCAGTACACATTAAAGATTTTTTCCTTAGTCACAGGAGAATAAAAATAATTTTTAGAAGTAAATAAAAACATTAAATGCATATAATATATTGTTCATAAAAATATTTATAACAAATATTTTTATACATTATAATAACTTTTAAATTAAATGTGGAAGGAATATTATATTTACTGTAAACAAACTTACGTATGGGTACAAGATATAAAAGGAATGAATTGAAATATGTTTATTAATTGAAGTAGTATTATATATATAGAAAAATATTCAAAATATTTTGCTTTTATTATTAAATAAAAAATATATATATATTGTGCTGCAGGGTTTCCGCTACGGTAGCTTTTTTCGCAAAATGCGAAAAGACCCCTCAAAAATGCTAAAATTCAACAAAGCATTTTCGCATTTTTGCTAAAGGATTTTACTAAATTCCATTAAAAAAAAAGGCTTCCGCGAAAAACCATGACGCTAACATCCATGAAAAAAACTTGATCAAACAANAGTAAATAAAAACATTAAATGCATATTTAATATATTGTACATAAAAATATTTAAAACAAATATTTTTATACATTATAATAACTTTTTAATTAAATGTAATAAATGGAAGGAATATTATATTTACTGTAAACAAACTTACGTATGGGTACAAGATATTAAAGGAATGAATTGAAATATGTTTATTAATTGAAGTAGTATTATATATATAGGAAAATATTTTGCTTTTATTATTAATATTGTGCTGTAACCATTAAATAAATATCATCAGATTAACATGATGATGTGATTTGAGGTTTGACCTCATCTATTTACAGTTTTTATTTTTTAAAGTTTTGTAAGAAGTGTGAAGCTTTCCTGAATTAAATTCTAAAGTAGCAATTAACTTTCTCACCTTCACATTTATCACAAATCACATTTTTCTGCACTGCAAGTTTCCTAACTGCACCATTATACAATTCCTCTAAAGTCACTCCAAGTTGATGCACCACATTTGCACTTTTGTTTTCACGCTTGCGAGTACCACCACCAAAGAACATGTCGAAGATATCCATGGGAGATGACATGCCTCCTCCTCCAATACCACCCTCTTTGATAGCTTGTTCTCCCCCTTGATCATAAATTTTTCTCTTTTCAGGATTCGACAGCACTTCATATGCTTGAGATATTTGTTTAAACTAAAATGTAAAAGCAAATCATTGAACGGACAGTGAATAAGTATAATATGATAAGTTAGAAGGAAAATAACCTCTCTTAGTAGTTAGTTCCATGAATAAACCAAAGCATATAATCACAGACTTAAAAATTTTCTCTTTCGAGCTGTACAAATAATAGGCATTAGTGACTTTGAACTAGTCCAGTTAAATTATAAAAAATAAATTAATCCGAAAACCTTACACAAACTTTTTATTAGATTTTAATTTCATACCTAAATTTTTCCAACTAATAACGGGAGTTCAGCATCTGACATTGCTTAAACTCATTCTCACTTATTCAGGAAAAATAAGCCAATTACAGACCTCTTTAAGTATTTGTGTAATAATTAGAACATACTTTATCCAAAATATGATGTTGTGCAAAGAATAATCATTTAAGCATATTAAATTAAATAATGATTGAAAAGAATAAACTAGATTGCAATTAAGAATTGTTTTAATATTAGTTATTCCTTTTTGAAAAAGTATTTATTCCACTTTTTATTTGTTTTTAAGCAGTTTTATCTATGGTTTCTTTCTTCAACTGCGAAAGAAACTAACAATTCCCACATTCTTAGTTACTGAAATAAATTGGATGCACCTACCTTTTCACCTTCTGATGGATTTTTGTCAGGATGATATTTTAATGCAAGTTTACGGTAAGATTTCTTCAGTTCATCAATCGTGCAAGCCGGCTTGACATTAAGAATGTCATAATAAGTAGTCTCCTTAACCATAATTTATCTGGAAAAAAAATTATAAATAGGAATAATGCATGAAACAAAAAGATCTATATGTAAAAATAAAAAATATTTTTAAAATACCAAATATTTTAAATTCAAAAAAATTTTATGAGACAAGAAAATTTAAAAAAAATTTTATGGTTCAATTCAAACTAAAGGTATTTACATAAATAATAAAAACCAAAATAGGAAAAAGATTTTATAAGGAAACCAGCCAATCCTGGTTTTAAATTTAACCAACAAATCTAAGCCTCTTAATTTTACATTTTACTTTTTTTGCGAATTTTACTATATCTCTAGATCTATTTACATTTAGAACATAGGCATAACGTGAGGGGGAGTTTATTTTTTGAAAACCGTTAGTGTATTTTAAGTTTCATACATACATTTATGTATAAATGTACAGTCATATAAAAAATAAACATGCATAAATATAAAATTTAAAATAAAGGAACAGTTTTCTAAAAAACAAGAAGTGCACCCCCCCCCCTCATGCTACGTCTATGATTATGAGCACATAATCAGTGTAGTTAGGAGGAAGATGGTCTTGGAAAAGTAATAATAAGTGGAAACTTTCAATCAATCTTCCAACCATAATATCAAACTCTATTTTTCACATTTCGCCTACCTTCCAGAAATAGAGAGTTAAAATTAGTAATCAATAAAAACACACTTTAAAAGGAAAAAAAATTTCCCTTAAACCATAGATTGCATTTACAAAGGAAATATGAATCAGAGAAACATCTCTTCATTTAATCCCATTTGAGTCAAATATAATATCAAGGGTTGTTGAATTGTCAAAACCTGGCGAAATTTCATGCACAGGAACAAATATGGAAAATGTCATTGAAAAAAAGTCAAAATTTTATCGAAACCAAACAAATATATATTACAAAGTAAAGAAACTAAATAAATAAATAGAATAAAAAATAGGGTACAAATTTCGAGCCATTGTACCCTGCCAAGATATAAAATAAAATGTAGGTCCCACTTCTGAAATTATAGGACAAGTTTGCAAACTATTTTTTTATATAAAAAGAAAGGTGGGACAGTTTAAGAGTACAGCCTTTATCCCAAATGAACTGGGTTAAAATTTTTCAGTTATAAAAATTGTAGATAGATTTTAGCTGTTAACTTAGTAATTGTTTTTTGTATATTAATAAATATAACATTAAGGAATTAAAAAATATACGCTAATAACAAACACTGGATTTAAAAGAAAATGCATATTTTGATGCATGGGTAGAAGTTGGGTTGAATAGGATAAACATGAAAACATTTAATTTATACTTGAAATGCAAATTAACTAAAAAACATGGCACTTATGTAGCATTACAAATGTCTATCAAGTGATAAAAGTAACTAAAAATCTCACTAGGAATGAGTAATTAGAGTTGATTTTTCTAATTTATTCATTAAAATAGAAATTCAGCGGTGCTACACTATATCAATAAAATATAAAACTATTGTCATCTTGAAAAGCAGAGCTGGCAAAAAAACTTATTACATAATTGAAGCTACCACATAAAGTTAATAAAATTCCAAACATCTTAGTGGGGGCTTTTCAAAAATACAAAAACCATATTAAGAGTTGGATGGTGTAACTACCTTATCTTAATCAAGTGGATAAAATTTGTATCTTCAGAAACTATAAAATTGAAGCGACAAATATTAAAATTTAACATCAGAGGACGATTTGGCTACTATATAGTTAAAATTCATATTATTTATTAAATGATTTAAAAATAAATAAAATAGAAAGGAATAAAATATTTAACGTTCACTAACAAACATTTATCTAACTTATAAAATCAAAAAACATTATACGATTTATATACGAGAGTATTTTTCACACAAACATCGATCGTACCTTAATAAATTTTTCGAGTAGAAATAAATATGAATAAAACTTGGTAAAACTCTTGATAACAAAAAGCTGATCAGTATGCTTGTATTTAAGGAACAGATTATCAAATTTTACAAAGAAAGTTCTCGACACTACTTCTCATAACAAATCTGATCACAGAAAAAAGAAAGTTTCTACATGCGTGCGCAACAATATGAGTTTGCAAAATATTCCTAAAACTTACTCGAAAATTCAAACGAATTAACAACCGTAATTCATACGATGACCAGAAGATATATCAGATAAATAATGAACTGATTAAACTGAAAAAGTTGGTGCAGCTCATTCACTAAAATTTGGAAAACAGCAAACATGATTTGAAAGTGGAGTTTTAAAGTATATGTTTAATCAGGAATAAAAATTATATATTCTGCTTTGGATTGATTAGGTATAAAAATAGAAGAAAAGAATCTCCGAATAAAAATTTTTTTATTCAAATTTTATCAGGATGAAATTGCGTGTAAAAGGAGTTTGGAGATGCGAGTGAGAACCTGATTGGCAACTCCTGAAAAATTCTCCAATCAAATTCCCGTTCGCCACCTCTAAATTGCAAATCTTTTTTACAGTGAAAATGAAGCTCTACGGAAAGTGACTCTCTTTCTTTTAATGCATTTACTTGAGAAGAAGTGAAGTGATAAATGCGATTTGCGACATTTTCTCTCTGTTTATGAGGTGAAGCAGTAAATATTTTAAAAATTTTGCAATTAATTACTATTTTTTATTTTATTTTTTGATCATCACTTTCTGCAGATACATTATAATTGGTGAAAGGTAACAGATTCATTTATTAAATAAATGGCCGAAGCAGTAGCTGAAGAATATCGATCATCCTTAGCAGATCTGAATTTCAACAGTAAACCTCATATAAATATGTTAACTATGCTTGCAGAGGACAATGTTCAATATGCTTCGTTGATTGTAGATACTATTGTCAATCATATAAAATCGGTATGTTTTTTTACAATGTATGTTTTTTTTCCATTTGTTTTTTACCATGTTCTTGACGATATTCGTTACAATATTGCTCTTACATATCTATTAATAAACCAAAGCATTTCCCGATTTTGTGATTTTTAACATGCTTAAAAAAATATTTCTTTTATGAGAAAGACTAAACCTAGCATTAATAAATATCCCCCTCCAAGCTTCTATCACAAGCACAAGATAAGTACTGTTACGACTTCTAACATGAAAAAAAAAAAAAAAAAAAAAAAAAAAAAAAAAAANAAAAAAAAAAAAACGTGCAATTTCTGTTATTACTCACTAAAAAATTAATATTTGAAAACTCAACAAAAGTAATCTTGTTAACCACAAATTTATAGATTCTAATATTTGTTTGCAGTATGTGCATACTAAATAACACATCTATGTTATCATAGCTCATATTCTGTGAAATAATTACAACATGGTGTATATGTAATCTATAAATGATAATATGATGGATAAAGGTGCATTTTGCATAGCTGGACGTAAGTGATTTGTCGTGGCTGAATTGTCAGGGCAATAAATTGATTTTAAATTACCTAGTACATTTGTACTAGCATAGTACATGCATATAGAGGTTTTCCCAGGGGTTACTGCAAGTTTATGCCCATAGTTGGTCTGCTGCAGATAACAGAAATCTTCCGATCGATGAGGAAATCTTCCGAAGAGGTTTGTTGTTGATTGTTCTCAGTTTTAGGTACTGGCCATTTTATTTAAATCATTTGTACTTAAACATTACCAGAAAAAATAGATGCTTAATGTTGCCAAAAGAAACTTAGATTGGGCAGTTAACTCAAAAGTGACGAAAAATATTTTCAGCACTAATTGAATTCAGAACTGAAAAAGGCTGACTTGAAATTTTTTCTTGTAAGTTTTAGTTAATGAATTAAGAAGTTAAAAATATAAGTTTGTTATTTAATAACATTGTGCAATTAAATAACATTCATCTAATTCAACGGAATCATTCTTAAAGTTATTGCATGCAATTGAGTGCAGGGGCCTGTGCAGGTGGAATTTACTACCGTTTAGCGGTACCTTCACAAATTTAACTTTAGGAAAACCGGTAGTTTCACAAAATACTTTTTCTTAACATTTTATTTCTGTTGATTTTTTAATATAATTTTTAATTTTTTCACAAATTATATCTAAATTTTCACATAATAGGTACCTTTTAGAAAAACCTAGACAGATCCCTGGAGTGTAATATATCATCACTTTAGTCTGGTCCATATTTTATTAAAAAAGTAACTATTATAAAATTATGCATTAGAAGTTGTAGTTTGAGAATGGGCTTCACCAAACTTTTGCAAAAACTGAAAGTGATATCTCTAATCATCCTCATTCTTTATAGATTGCCTTTTTTAGATGCTTAGATTTTTCGTTTCAAGTTTGTTTTCAATTAAAATAATAAAAATATGTCTTAAATAAAGACAGACTGAAGTTTTATTTTAATTTTTTTTAATTAAAAATTACTTAAAATTTATTGGTTTAAAAATAATAATAAAACTGTAACGAAATATTTTACATACATGCATTAAAAATTGAAAGTAAGAAAGAAAAAAAAAAGTAAAAAACTAACCAATGAAATGTTCACTTTAGTAAAACATGTTTTAAATTATTTGTTGAAAAAAAGACGTAACGTGCTTTTGAAACATCGTTAGACAAAATAGTAAAGTTTTATTAACTAATGTTCAATATCTATAATTAATAAATGTAAAAATAAATTAATTTTTTTTCATTTATTCATTATTACTATTGTTTTTGCTTTTTTTTTAATAAAATGGGCTGGAGATTTATTTGTTTAAAAATGATGCTGACTATCTAACAAATTATGAAGCAAACAAGTAGTGAAAAAACTTTTAAGTACTATTGTTAAATTATTCAAAAGAGTAAAATGTTTCTTTACTTTTTATTTAATCAAAAAAAATTGTTTTAACTAAAAGCCAAATTTTAAAAAAAAAAAAAAAAAAAAAAAAACGCAAAATTTTTTTTGATTTTTTATAATTAAAAATGACTGAGGATTTATTGATTTAAAAATAATAAATTTATTGTATTTGCGTGCATTAACTTTTTATAACAAGTTAAATACGAAATACCCCGATTGAATCATATAGCTTAAAATGAAAAGTAATAATTTAAAAAAATCAATAAAGAATCTTTTTTTTTATTCATATTTTCTTTTCACCAGTAGATTGAGTTTGGAACGAAAATTTAAGATAACAGCAATTGCTTAGCGATCACAAAGTAACAGTAGGTCTACTAAAAGTAATTGACAAGAATCCACAGCTCTTTCTAAGCAGGGTAAGCAAGGCACAGCACCCTGCTGCCTTTTTAGTCAAAAGAATCCACCCTGTTGCCCCTGAAGTAAATTAGTGTCGTGATGTAATAGACTCCATATTCTTTTTGCCCTTTCTTACCCAACCCTTCTTTATTTTTCCCTCAAACTCTACAATAGATTTCTTAGACTTTTGTTATTTTCAACTCTTTTTATTTAGTTTGTCAATGCTGTCAATACATAGATTTATATGTGAAAGGAAAAATAGCAATCACACCCCCTTGTTGCACAGTTACTTCCACTATCATTAAATCATAATTATTATTAATCATTTTAATTATTAAATCATAACTACAGACACTTAAAGACACTTTAGACTTACATTTATTATTTTATTAATATATGCATGCATTTCAAATAAATTACTAAGCTAATTAGCTCATTAACTCGATATATATGTTAATTTATTAATAAGAATTAGTAATTAATATGATTGCTTTGCTACTTTTAAAAAAGTAAAAAAATATTTCTTTTACTAATTGACAATGTTTTTTAATGGAACCTGTAAAGCCCATAGAAAGAAATTAATACCTTTTTAGAATAATAATGCCCCTTTTTTAAACTTTTGCACCCTGCCTAGAATGAGCTCTGAGAATCGTTAAATCCCGACGGACAAAAAAAAAGTGGTGAAATCATGCACCACGAGACGATCGATAAATAGCAAATCTCACTGAAAATAATGTTCGAGAAACGTTGAATCTCAACAGAATAGCACGGCAATCGCAAGGTATACAATAACGTAAGTCCCGCTGAAAATAATCTTGAAGAAACATAAAATCCCAAAGACAAAAATCTCGGATAAAGATACTATGCATAGCATTCTATATTTCTGATTCAATTCGCTCTTCATCATTCAACATCTCCACAGCTAGATGAAATCAAAATCATCTTCGTCAGCGCGGTAACAGTGTTAGAGTATGCAAAGATCCTCGCATGTTATATCGTTAAACCGCGAACTTTGTCTTGTACCTGCGGCTTAAACCAGATTTCTGATGCATCGCCTAAAACAAAGGTCATTATATCGGCCTGCCGCTATGTGTGCTAAATCGATATTTCGCCATACATTCATTTATCGCCCAGTCCTATCTATTTGGCACCTTCGCGATTGTAGTTAGCGCAACCGATCAACGTCACAGTACGGAAATTTTTCCTTTTACCTTGGTTTGATGTTATGATGACATTTCTTATTTAACAGTGTTTTATAATTAAAATTAGTATGCTATATCTTAACTTAGTAATAAATGAAATGTGATTATGATATTTTAATAGTTCTTTATATAATTATGAAGAAAGGTTTTACTTTACTAATTTATGTGAAGTATTAAAGGACTGTAGTTCTTTTAATTTCTTAAGAAATTCATTCAATTTATTTTTCTTTAATTAATGCTGTTATTTAAATTATATTGTAATTACAAACTGATAAACAAATTTTTTTAATATCTGATATTTATTTTTAAAAAGAGTTTCTTTGTGGAAAAAACTTGTGATAGCTGTTTTTACTGATCTTTTTTTTATTATTATTATCCATGGAGTATATTTTCAATTAACAACATTTTTGTTCATATTCTTTATAAGCTTTCTTATTAAAGCTAAAAATATATCTCTGTTTGCCATAATAAAGTAATTATTGTCTTATTGTTTCGTGCCATCTTATTACACACAAAATCAAAATGATATATTTATTTTAATAAGCAAAGAAATTTCTGGTGTGTTTGTGTAAAATTTATAAAAGTTGTACAGTAGAGAACCGANCTTTTTGACGTCAAAAACCCGACCCTGCTTAAAATTTATTGGTTTAAAAATAATAATAAAACTGTAACAAAATATTTTACATACATGCATTAAAAATTGAAAGTAAGAAAAAAACAAAAGTAAAAAACTGACCAATGAAATGTTCACTTTAGTAAAAAAAATTTTAAATTATTTGTTGAAAAAAAGCATTACATGCTTTTGAAACATCGTTAGACAAAATAGTAAAGTTGTATTAACTAATGTTCAATATCTATACTTAATAAATGTGAAAATAAATGAAAATTTTTTATTTATTTATTATTATTTTCTTTTTTTTTTTTTNTTTTTTTTTTTTTTTTTTTTTTTTTTTTTTTTTTTTTTTTTTTTTTCAAATAAAATGGACTGGAGATTTATTTGTTTAAAAATGATGCTGAGTATCTAAGAAATTATGAAGAAAACAAGTAGTGAAAAAACTTTAAGTACTATTGTTAAATTATTCAAAAGAATAAAATGTTTTTTAACTTTTTATTTAATCAAAATAAAATTGTTTAAAAAAAAAAAAAACACATGCAAAATTTGTTTTAATTTTTTACAATTAAAAATGACTGAGGATTTATTGGTTTAAAAATAAAAAAAATTATTACATTTATGTGCATTAAATAAATTTTTAAAAAAAAACTAACTTTTTGTAACAAGTTAAATACGAAATACCCCAACTGAATCATATAGCTTAAAAAGAAAAGTAATAATTTATAAATCAATAAAGAATCTTTTTTTTAATTCATAATTTCTTTTCACCAGTAGATTGAGTTCAAAACGAAAATTTAAGATAACAGCAATTGCTTAGCGATCACAAAGTAACAGTAGGTCTACTGAAAGTAATTGACAAGAATCCACAGCTCTTTCTAGGCAGGTTAAACAAGGCACAGCACCCTGCTGCCCTTTTAGTCAAAAGAATCCACCCTGTTGCCCCTGAAGTACATTAGTGTCCTGATGTAATAGACTCCATACCCTTTTTGCCCTTTCTTTCCTCCAATAGACTCCATACCCTTTTTGCCCTTCCTTTTTATTTTTCTCCCAAACTCTACAATGGATTTCTTAATATTTTGTTATTTTCAACTCTTTTCATTTAGTATTGCTTGCAACTTGCTGTTTTTACTGATCTTTTTTTATTATTATCCATGGAGTATATTTTTAATTAACAACATTATTGTTCATATTCTTTATGAACTTTCGTATTAAAGCTAAAAATGTATCTCTGTTTGCCATAATAAAGTAATTATTGTCTTATTGTTTCGCGCCATCTTATTACACACAAAATCAAAATGATATATTTATTTTAATAAGCAAAGAAATTTCTGGTGTGTTTGTGTAAAATTTATAAAAGTTGTATTAGTATTCAGAGTTGAAGATAATTCAAAATTTCTATTTAGCTATTACTAGTTATTATTAGCCAGCAGCTCATTCTTATTCAGATGTTCAGTTTGAAAAAAAAAATCTGTCTGAGCTGTCCAGATGCATACTTTTTTTTAACACAAGCACTGAACCCCACTATGCTTTTGGTCAAGCACATAAGCATGTCTTATGGTTACGATCATCTGCTTAAGCGTATCTATAAACTACCCTATGCAAATAAAAAAAAAAAATTCTTCTGCTCTCGATGAAGATAATATTTATATTACTAAATCCATCTTTTACTCAACAGGTACCTCCAGATTTAAAACTTCCTAGCCTCTATTTAGTGGATTCAATTATGAAGAATATTGGTGGAAAATATATTGCTCAATTTAGCAAACATATGATAGAACTTTTCAGCTCAGTTTTTGAAAAGGTTTGATGAGTATACTTTTCTTAAAATTATTTTTCATAATGAAAGTGTATGATAAGTGAATGAATGCTATTTTGTGTGGGAAATTTTGCCTCTTTTAAATTTAGAATATTTTTGAAGTTTTGTTTTTATTCATATTTAATATCAATTAATATTATTATGTTACTATTATATACTTTTTCACTTTAAATTATATTTTAATTACATTTATTACATAGCTTTATTGTTTTTATTTTGTTTGTTTAAAGTTAAACTGTTTAGCGTATAGTGAAGTTACTATGATTTCTTTTGCATTTTCTATAGAAACATTTGTAAAATTAACACCAAATATATTATATAAATCACCAATTATATAAATTACAGTAGAACCTCAATTGCCAGAATCTCTTTCACCTGAATATTTCTCTTAACTAAAACAGGATTTGTTGCTGTCTTGATACTTGTTTCAATTTTTTGTTTACTTTTTCTCCTGATATTTCAGATTTTTGTAAATGTTCAAAACATCCTATTTTCTTTGGGTACTGATGCAAATTTTAAAATTATCAGTTTGAAGGTAATAATATCATAAAATTTTTAAATAATGAATTGAGGGATCATCAACTAAGTTATTTTGAACAAAAATAACTAGCAGCATATTCATTTTTGCAATGTTTTCATTCCTAGATTAGGAAAACCCTGTTTTAAAATTATTTGATTAAGAATGTCTTGAACTCAAGTTCAAATTTTTAAAAAAATGCTGATATGAAGGAATATTAACTGGATATTTTTTTAAAGGCATATTACTATAAATACTTTCATCTATTCATCTTGCTATATATGCTTCTTTAATAAAATTTTACTGAAAATTGTAAACTTTCTGTTTTAAATAAAGTAATTTTTAAATTATTTATATTTCTTTTACTATGATTACCTTTTTTCTATTTCCCTTTTATCATCTCAGGGTAACCCTTTGAGATTTTCTTCAGAAACTGAGGATTTGCTCCAGGAAATTATAATAATTGCTCCCGGTTTTCTCAATGCGTACAATAAAATCTGAAAAACCTTAACAATTTGGCATTTTCTTAGACATTGCCTCTTTATTCCTTTTTACATTTACTTTTAAGATTTTATCTTATATTTTACTATATGATTACACATAATATGATTGCCCATAATATTTTATTATCCACAATGTGCAAAATTGGGTTTGAAATTTTTGCGAAGTCCAAAATTATTGTAAAAATATGTAACATGTTGTAAAAAAAATAATTAATTACAAATTTTTCCATTTAAAAACTACAATAAAAATTATTATGATCCCTGTGGCAGAATTTTTTCGAGCTTTCTGCGACAAACCTCTCTAGTAAAAATATCTTTCTGCAAGATACTTTTAATAATAACAAATATAAAAGTTATTAATTTAAAGTAACAAAAGAGTCGACATTAAAGAAAAGAAATCGGATAGAATAAAAAAAAAAATTTAAACTGAATATGTAGTATTTTTTTCATTCTAATATTATGACCGATATTCTCGCATTTTGTGGAGGAAAAACACACTAGTTATTTCCTTCTTCGCATTTTGTATAAAATCACACTTTAAAAAAGAAAAAAAATTGAAATTTGTTACAGTAACTGCCGAAAAAGAAAAAAAAAAGATGGAAGGCAAAAGTAACAAAAGCGTCAACATAAAAAAACGAAATCGGATAAAATAAGATAATTTTTTAAACTGAATATGTAATATTTTCTTCATTCTAGTATTATGACCGATATTCTCGCATTTTGTGGAGGTAAAACACACTAATTATTTCCTTCGCATTTTGTATAAAATCACACACAAAAAAATCGTGAAATCTGTAACAGTAACTACCGAAAAAAAAGGCAAAATCACACAACTCTTCAAAAAGGGTTTCATACTAAATAGTGTGATACTAAATTAGTGTTTTCATTTCGAGATTCAGTTGTTGTAATATATAATATCGTATTAGAAATATGGGATTTTAAAAACTATGTGGAAATCAATAATAATAACTGCATATAGACCGGAAATTTCTGCATAAAAGAAAACAAATTTTTTTTACTTCATTACTCTTTATCTTTCATTATTCTCAAATAATATTAGAAAAACTCACAAGCATTTTTTCCCACTCCGATGAGCAAGAAAGGCATCTTTTGAATATAAATCTTAAAAAAAGATCAAATCTTTTGAAAATTTCTGCAGAAAAGAAAAACCAAAATTTTTTACTTCTTAAAGAAAAAATCTTTCTACAAGAACTCTACAATGTTCTGCGGCAATGACGCTGTGTCGCCACGATTCTGCCACGGGGATTACGATTAACTTCTTTATTTACCACTTAAACTCAAACAATTATTCACATTTTTTAAACATTAATGGCACACCTACCATTGTTAATGTTTTGAAAAATCATTGTAGTTTCTTCAGCTTAAACTAATTCTTCGCATAAGGTTTTAATTAAAATTCTGTTTTAAAAAATCACAATTTATTGCATTTTTAGTCAACTTCTCATAGTCAGCAGGAGAAATAAAAAGCTATTGCTGAACCATCAGACACAATGTAATGTCATTTCATCATCCTAATTTGATCACTGTCCTATTGTTTAATAAAAAGCACCGCAATCAAGAATCGATATCTTTAATTTATTCAGGCATTTTATATTTTTTAAAAACTTTAACATATTCTCCAGAATGTATATATACTCGTTTTAATTTTATTTTCATTTCAGTATATTAATAGTTAAAACATATTGCATTAAGATAATTGACTTTCTAATATATCTCATTGTATAGATAATTAATTTTACCTGACCTTTTAGAAGGTTTTAAATTATTTTAAGAATGCTTTTGCCAAAAGTATTATTGTTTATGAAAATAAACTTTTAGGTCACTGAATGTACCAATTAATTAGTAATGAACTGAAATTCCTATTTATGTTATCTCTAGTTTAAAATGTAGGTATCATATAATTATTTTTAAAAAAATTGAATCTTGTCTTCAAGATGCAGGCATCTAATGATGAATTAGTCATATAGATTTTGTTTAAAATTAAATATAAATTTTTTAAACTGAAATTCTTGTTATTTTGTTAGGTTTTATTAAATATATAATATTTATAAATTTTTCTATTTTATTTAAGGGATTACACTTACACTTATAAATTATATTTTAAGCAGACTTAGAATTAATTTAGCAATAACTGATATAAGTAGATTATCAATTGTATTTTATTTTGTAATGAAGATTTAATCTATTGCTTTTTATTAAATCAGTTACATTCCCTGGGGCAGTTTAAATGTTATTTTTATATAAAACCTGTAAAACTTAGGCAGTTATTTTATGTGATTTTAATAGATTTTAGAGGCAAAATGTTAATTATTTGACACTGTGCATTTAACATAATCTTGTCTTTTTTATCATATGGATTTTATTTGTTGTAATTATTACGAAATAAAATTTACCTCCTTACATTTGTGTGTTTTCATTTTTAATTTATTTCACATTTTAAATTGTGTGAGTTTTAAATTTTTTTATTTGTGTTAGATGCTGCAAATTATTTATGTATTTCACAGACTGAAAATATATTCTGTTTTCTTTTCCTTTTTTTTTTCTTACCTAAGCAAAAGAAATTTCAAACATTTAATTTCGTGCTAACTGCCTTTTATTTACAGTTGAACTTAGTTGGCAATCGAGTTCAATTTCTTATTGACTTTCTGAAATTTTTCTTCAGGCGAAATCCGGCATCAGATATTTTAATTTATCTATTTAAAACGGTTCTGCGATTTTCTTTGTTCTTGTCAATGAGGTTCTTTTGTATTTCTTAAAATAATTTAAATGACATCAGTATTTGTGACATGCTTGTTTTTATGTGTTTTGAAAATATGAGGTGTTTGGTTTCAAAACCAGCGTAATGTATTTTCAGAATTATACATGTATGTGGATTAAAATCTTTGTAATTTATTTGGTCTTAATCCACTTTGATATCAGTCGTAGCATATCAATGTTTAATTTTTTCTTTAAACTTTAAAAAATAAAAGAATAAAGTTGTGTTTGTTAAAAGTTTAAAAAGACAACATGAGTATCAGACATATGAAGTTCAAAGAATAGTAAGCTAAAAAATTCAGCCTTTTAATTATGCTTAAGAAAATTGGGTAACCCCAATGTTCATCTGCTTACAGTTTTCTGATTTCAACAAGAATTTGTTAAAGATATATTCTTGCGGTGATAAAAGAAAAAAAAGAAGTCCTAAATATATTATCAGTCACATTATCTCGTAGATAAATTGGGCACTAGACATCCAAAATTGCATGCATGTACTGTTTGATGCTCATTGAATTTTTTTTTTTAATTTTGTCTAAATGTTTTTTTTGTTGTTTGTTTTGTTACAAAAACATAAAAAAATAAACCAATAATTTTAAAAATTCAAGTGTTCATTGGTGTAAAAGAAAACCAAAAGCTTTTGTATTCAGCATTTTATTAAAGCTTAATATGCCAGACCATACCTGCAGAGTCTGCTGTTTTCTAACGAAGACTCCTGTATTTTACGACTATCTCTTGTTTAACTGTATATTCTAAAATTTCTCCTTATTTCTTGAAGAAATTTTTAAAAAAAATTGGTTATAAAATATCCACTGATAGCAACAATAATTCTCTTATTCCTCAGCGGATGGTACTATTGCCATTACTGCAGTATGTTGAGTGTTAATTGTTTAAGTCGAGCCATAATGGCTCTAGGGATTGAGAGTTTGCCTTCCAATGAGGTGAACCCAGGTTCAAATCCCAGCGGTGACTAGTCGGTACGAATTCTGCATCCATATTGCACCAACCACAGTGCTGACATGAAATATCCTCAGTGGTACTAGCATCACAGGTTAGTGTCCCCTTATAGTCAAGCTAACTATGGGTGGTTTTCGTGATTTTCCTCGCCGTGTAACTCAGATGTAACCATAAAAATCTCCGTTGTTTTATTTCTCCAATGTTGGCAGATATGCCAGAACATAAAGATGGACTCG